AAAGCCCCCCCCGCCCCCCCCCCTGCCGTCCTCAGCCAATTTGCAGAGCAAAAACAAGTGACTCGCCCCATGAACAGTGAGTGCCGGGCACCTGAGACAGTGGGAAGAGCAAGGGGCTAGAAGCCCTGAGACCTCAGTTACAAATGCCGCCAGCTAACAGTAGGCCTGGCCAGCGGCGAGGAAACAAACAGGTGGTTTCATTTTCATTTTGTTGCCGTAATAAAGCGGCCGTTGGCATTGGTTCAGCTGCCCATCAAAGTTGTCAAGGATCCAGGCTTTTTTCTCTCTCTCTCTTTCTGCTCCTCTATTCTTAGCCTGTGAGTGGGTATCTTCATGCTGCTGGCTTCAGGTTTGCAAGATGGCTGCTGCAGCTCCAGACATCACATCCGGATTCAAGGCAGGAAAGAGGGCAGAACAAAGGGCATTTTTTTTTTGCGGGGGGGGGGGGGCAGGGAGGGGAGAAACAAAAACATCACAGATGCCACCTCTCCAGCTGACTTTCACTTATTTCTTGTTGGCCAGAACTGTGTGATCTTGGGACCCCAGCTGCCAAGCAGGCTGGGAAAACAAGTATTTTTGTCTGGGGTTAGATACCTTGCTGCTCTGCACAGAACTAGGATTCTGATAGCAAGGAGGAGGGTGCCGTGGCAGAGAGCGGAAAATAGTGTCTTAATGAGTTGAGCCCTAATTCCTGTGCCCTCCTGTGCACCCATGTCCTTCTCTGCAGAACAAGAGCTGCTAGTCCCCACCTCAGAAGGCGAGGAGGAGGGTTAAGTGAGCTAATAGGTGCCAGGTGAGACCGACATTGAACAGATAAATTCTACTGACGTCACTGGAATAAAGCAGTGACGTGTCCACTGGGGTAGGCATGCAGGGAAGTTCGAGGAGCCGAGGAAATTGTTCGAGGAAAGGGGACCAGATCCGCCGTGCAAAGGCTGGGGTGGATGTGGCTTTGAGGATGTGAGAGTCCAGTCTGCCCGTGGAGGTGTGAGTGCAGGAGGAGAGAGGGAGCTGGGGTGTGGCCAGGCCTCCGGGGCCCCAGGAAGAGCAGGAAGCAGAAGGAGACCCCCCTCAGACTCTGGCCTCAGGAGAGGGGGCACCTCCGGGCTTTGAAACATTGAAGATCCGGGTGGGGGCTCGACCCACCACATCTGTTTGCATCGAGTGTTGGTTTTACTGTGAGATTTTTGTTTCATACGAGAAGTAACTTTAAAAACATAAACTCTTCTGAGCTGAAACTCATGAAGGCGGGGGTTTCCCCCTGCACTCACTTCCTTTCAAGAGGGCGAGGCTCGGGGAGGCAGGGGAGTGAGAGGGTCCTGCCTAGAACGTCAGGACTTGGGGGACAGCGTGGGTGGCTGGGGCTCTGGGGAGAAGAAAATAGAAACTCAAAGCAATTCACAGGGCTGGGACTCGGGGACTCTGAGCTGTCAGGGGCGGAGTTTTCTGCCTCTTTTTTTATTCCTTTATGTTAGCCTCTCTGGATGCCAGCTAACTAGGTCAGGAGCTGGTGTGCACTCCTGGATCCCCGCGCCTGGACCTGTCCCCGCCCCGCCCCCTCCCTGCCCCCCCAAACGTAGAACAGCACCTGGCCCAGAGTGAGTGCTCACTGACAGTGCTAAATGAGTGGGGGAAGTTTAGATAAAGACGTGTAATTGTCCACAGGAGTGGGAAGTCTGGCATTTGTAACTTGGCAAAAACTACGGTGACTGACTCCATACCAGGCACCGCTGCTTTATGGATGAACTTCTCGATCCTTCCAACAGCGCCAGCTCTCCTTTAAAGAAACTCCCCTTTGCTTAGTGCCTGCGGGGACTGGCATTGCTTCTTTATGCCCTTGGACACCTTCCTGTGACCTCCAGTAGGAGAGGCTGCGAGTTTCCAGCTGCCTGCCACCCCTGTTC